CTGGTACAGCTGTTCTCCAGTCTGATCCCCACGGCAGCCCAACCTCAGCTCCCTCCACCTCCCCGACCTGCACTTTGCATCTGCAGCACGTTCCTGTAGCCAAGGACTTTGCAAACCCCTGTCCCAGCCGGGCTCAGACCCAAAAGCACATCAGTGACACTGGCTCTGATGGTATTTGGGGGCTTTTATTGTTCGCCAGGTGGCAGCTGGTTTGGGTGTGAATCTCAGCTCTTGTTTGGGGTGGGGAGGAAGGGTATTGTTCTGGGCTGGGTTAAATCTTGTCATGAATCATAGAATATCAGGGTTGGAAGGGACCTCAGGAGGTATCTAGTCCAACCCCCTGCTCAAAGCAAGACCAATCATCAGACAGATTTTTGCTCCAGATCCCAAAATGGCCCCCTCAAGGATTGAGCTCACAACCCTGGGTTTAGCAGGCCAACGCACAAGCCACTGAGCAATCCCTCCCCACAACAGAGGCACTTTGTTTAGCTCTGAGCAAGGAGTGTGGTTCAGTTGGTTAAAGCGGTTGGGAACGCCCACCCCGGGGTTTTATCCTGGCTCTGAGAGGAGAGTGTGTGTAGTTACGTGCTCTTGTAAAACCTTGAATTTATTCCCCCCGTGTCTGTTGCATTTGTCTGCATGCCAAATGGATTGCAGGAGTGCCCTTTTTTGCTGCTTTTAGCTGTTTTTGGGCAACTCCATGTTTTAATGCATCAATTCTAGGTGTTAACCCGCTTCATTTTGGTTTTTTACTTTGAAATTCTTTTTTATTCACTCCCCTGCAATCAAGTCCAGCTCCTGTCTCCTAATGTGCTCTGTGAACTGTTCCAGTTTTTCCTTCATCTGATTTACCAGTTCAGGGAAAGGACTGTGTGCTACTCTTTCCTTCTGTGCACTTACTTGTCCTGTGCTGACAGGCCCCCATCTAGGTCTCAGTTGAAGTTTAACCAGAACCTGGCTTTTATTATAAGCTGGTGGTTGCAATGCAGTGGACCCCATTTCATCTTTTCATTTTGCTAGGGCCCCTTTTCCATTTCTGTCCCCATTCCTCAGACACAGGGGAGCGACCTGAAACCTGCTGTTGACCACAAATATATATAACAGGGGCCGGCACATCTCTTTTGTAGGTTTCTTACAGCTGTTTTCAGTGTTTTATTCTGTTCCTGTGCTTGCTGGCTGTGGGCTGCTTGCTGCCCCGCAAGGAGAGTGAGAGCAGGCCAGGGCTTTGTAGCATCTGCTGAGTCTTTTAACACTTTTGTTGTTTCTTTTACTTGCCCCGCCAACTTTGTGGCCTGTTGTCTTAACCATTTAACAGCCATGGTTATAGTTTGCAATATTCTACATTTCAAGGCTAGTTTCTGCTCTAGCCTTACAAATTTCATTCCATGTCTCTTCCCCACTATGTTTTTTAGGTGCCACAAGTACTCCTGTTCTTCTTTTTATGTTTTTTAAATTCATATGAATCTCTTTTGCTAGCAACCCAGCGGGTCCACGAGTTATCAAACTCTGCAGGGATTTGCAGGGAGGGTTAAGGGGGTTCCCTAGCTCGTGGTTTTCCGTCATGTTAGATAACGATTCCTACAACGGACAGCTTACTCACCAGATCAGCGGTCGGGGTCACCAGTGTTGTCAGACGCCACCGGTGTGGTGCTCTGCTCTGTCCAACGTTGATAACAGTCGGCTGCGTGCGTGTGTTCCCTCTGTGTGCTGCCCCAGCTCTGCGCAGATCACTGACACAGCAGACCCCGAGAGAACCTCCAATGACCACAGACTCCAATAAGGTATGAAGGCACCCGGCCCGGTTTATTATCAAATGAAACACAGTCTCTAGCTCCCCAGATCAGATGTCTACAGTTCTGCTAGTACATATGTGCTCCCTGACAATGGACCGGCTCAGTCAGTGGTGGGACTCTCCATTGCCCCCGCCTCGCGCCCCCCTCTAGCCGAGCTCTTCTTCTCCACCCCCTCGCCCAGCCCGTCCCTCGCTCATGTTCTTCCCTTCTTTTGCCAGCTGTGTTCTTCCCTTGCAATTGCATGTCCTGAATAAAGGTGTCTCTGATTTTGTTGCTTCCAACCTGAGCGTGGAGTTCGTTTCTTCCACAACACTTCCAGAGTCAGGTCGATGTGAGCTGCCTTGTGTTACGCTAGCCAGAGCCGTCCCATCCATGGGATGGATCGGGGCAACTGCCCCAGGCCCTGTGCTTTGGGGGGCCCCGTGCTTCTGGCCTTGTGGTCCAGGGTGGCCTGGGGGGTTAGCGGGGGACCTGGCCCAGGCAACAGCGAGCGACCTGGCCCCACCCCACCCTGCTCTGCTCCATCCCGCCAGCTCCTGGCGTGGGAGGGGGTGGAAGAGGTGGGGTGGTGGTTTAGGGAAAGGGGTGGAGTGGGGGCAGGGCCTGGGCTAGAAGTGGGGGGTGTCCCGGCTGCGCATCCCCCTAGGGACAGCCCTAACCCTAGCTCTATAATGCCAACCAGACCTAAGTTTCTGAACTGAGAACAGAGATTCAAAGGTTCATCGACGTAGTTAATCAGGGCTATGGAAACCGAATGGTGTCGTGTGAGCCCTGTGGCCTGAACCCTACGAGAGACGGGGGGTAACTGACTGGCTGCTCTGATGGCATCGACTGGAGACCAGGGGCAGTTGACTGAGCACATCGATACTTCATTTGCATGTTAATTGTAGGCAGTTTGGGGACATTGGGGTATCATTGGAATATGTTTGGACTTGGGGCTGTATTTTGGAGCATGCCCTGCGGGGAACCCGCCTGGACAAGGACCAGGCGTCAGGTCACCTCGACGACTCGGTTGTTGGCTGCGGTGGGGTGAGAGGCTCTGGATGGAACATGAGGACAAGCAGAGAGAGGCTGCAGGTTTGTGGAGGGAATCAATTTTGGGGCGTTAGAGACTTGGCTGGTACTTAAAGCCACCGATCCCCTTGTAGCTAGAAGAGCTGAGCTGAGAGCTGGAATTGCCTTGGGCAGAGCTCACCAGGGGGGCCAGTTTTCCAGATGTTAGAGCCCAGCAACCGTTCCGGGTGACTGAGCCACCACAGGAGAGCAGAGGCACGTACCAGAGCAGCAGCCGTCTGCGGCAGCCTAGCGACTCCTGTGAGGCCTGCCTGTCCTAGCTGCTGGAACCGCTATCGCTGGGTGGGCCGTAGAGCTCCGAAGCTGTCCATGGAGCAGGGACCCTGATTTTCCTGAACTCCTGGAACCCCAAACTGTGAGCGAGGAAGTTGGGAAGCCTTGAACTGAGGGGGGGGGGCAGAACAAACTGAGTTCAGGCTCCCCTTTGTTTGAGACTGTGACTGATGCACCCCGAGGTACACAGCGGTGGAAGGCATTAAACTATAAATATACGTCCCCAGTTCAACCCGGCCCTTCCCTTCCCTTTCCTGCCTTCAGCAAAGTTCATTTCTTCAAACCTCTGTGCTGGCGAGTGGGTATAGACTTGCCAGGCAAAGGCGCCCAGCGTGGTTACAGGTTCCCAGACAACTGGGGGGGCTAGAGCCAAAAGTTAAGAAATTGTAGAGAATCCCCTAAAATAAGGACCCAGCCCTTGTTGCTGATGCTGATGGTGAAAGGGCGGCACATACGCAGCAAAAGTGTAACACACTTCCTAGAGTGCAAACGTTAAAGGGTAAAGTAGGTTACCTCACCTAAACCAGGCTCCTTGCATCTCTGAGCTAATCCCTGGGCCCCATCTTGCTGAATCACTGTCCTTTTGCTTTGGCAGTGAAGGATACAGGTGTGACTTTCTGTACCTCGGGGGAACACCCAGCACCCCATGTTCATCCTTATAATATGATTATGTGGTATCTAATGCAAAGTTTGTCACCTTAGTCGTCACCCCAGACTGGCGGGGGGCGCTCAGATCAGAGGAGCCTCATCGGACTGCTCCTCAGTGTTGTCCCCCTGCTCCCTTTGGCCGGCGGTGGCCTCGGCCCTCTCCTTATCCTTCTGGGAGATATTGCCACCGACTCCCCCACCCACGCCCCCGCCTACACACATCCCAGCCACAGCGCCCACTCCAGCGCCAATGGCTGCCGCCTCAGCCATACCGAGCGCAGCAGCGGCGACCCCGATACCGACAGCTCCACCCACGGGTGCCAGGACCACCACCCCCGCGCCCACGCCCGCCACAATGACAAATTTCTTGAAGCGCTTCCTGTAGGTCTCCAGGAAGGTCTCAGCCTCCTGCTTCAGCTCCTCCTCCAGCTCCGTCAGCCGGGCCTCTGTCTCCGGCGCCGGCTGCTGCATGTCGGTCTGGCACCGCCACAGCAACTGCCCGCGCCACTCCGCGAACTGCTGCGCCATCTTGCTGGGCTGCACCTTCAGGCAGTCGATCATGTTCTGGGAGTCGCCGTCCTGCGCCCGCCGGGAGAGGAGACGGCCAAGAGCATTAAAAGGGGCAATTGCTGCACAGAATCCACCCACCCGACCTAAGGAGATAGGGGCCCCCGTCACATGGCACAGACCTGGACTGAGATTGGGGCTCACATCACACCGGGCGCTGCACAGACCTGGACTGAGTCTGGGGTCATGTCACAGCGGGCGCTGCACAGACCCTCACCAAGTGAGATCAGGGCTCCCATCGTGCCGGGCACAGCACAGATTCCCTGACTGAAATCGGTCCCAGTCATGCGAAGTGCTGCACAGTCCATCCCCCAGCCCCCGACTGACACGGGGGCCCCCATTATGCTGGGTGCTGCACATGCCTCCGGATCGAGATCGGGCTGCGATGGCGCCGGGTGCTGCGCAGACCCTCCGACTGAGATTGGGCTCCCCCTTGTGCGATGGTTGGAGTCTCCCATCTCTGCAGCCACCCTGGGAGCTGGCGATATGAACTCCCATCTCCTGCTCCAAAGCCCAGAGCCCGTGGGGCTGGCCGGGATGTTTCTCTGGGTTCCCCTGACTGGGGGCACAGCCCCCTCCACAGACTCACCTTCTCTCTCAGAAACACAGCGTGGTCTGCACGGGCTCTGTCCAGGACTCTCTGGTTGTGGAAGGTGATGGCCATCTGTGCAGGGAGAACAAGGCTGGGGTGAGCCGCAGTTCATGGGGCCCCAACTCCACCTACTGTCCCAACCTCCCATTCTCCTCTGTGGGCTGGGCTCATGGCAGATGCAGTCAAAGCAGGAAGACCAAGTAATGGGGTAGACTATACCCAGAGGCCTGCTGCTAGAGGCCTCAGGGTCCTGCCACACTCGTCCCAGGAAAGGAGCAGTGAAGAGGTCCTCCAAGCAGGCTTGAGTGGCTGCAGGGGACATGGCCAATCAGAGAGGCTGCAGGGAGCTGCCAATTGGGGCCCAGGAGAGCCCTATAAAAAGGAGCTGCAGAGCCAGAGACAGGCAATTCCTTGCAGGAGCCAGTGGAGTGCAGATGGGGGCTCCTCTCTGGCCAAAGGGAACTGCACCATAATGGAGAGCTCAATGCTAGGAGGGACCAGGGGAGCGAGGAAGAGCTCCTGGCTGGCAGCTGGGCCTGAACTTAGAAGGGCCCTGAGCTAAAGGGAAATGTGTCGGTGAAGGCTGGGGCCTGTGGAAGTGGCCCAGGGAAGTCAAGGCATTTTTGCTAAAGGGATACAGTTGTGCACGGTTGCTATTGTTAGGGTCCCTGGGGCTGGGACCTGGAGTAGTGGGTGGGCCCAGATCCCGCTTTTAAGCCACTGGGGAAGTGGCCTACACTTGGACAATGATTAAACCCCCAGAAAGGGATCTGAGCTCTTAATTGGTCTGGCTGGAGAGCTGGGGTCAGAACAGACCCAGAGAGGGTGAAACCATCGCCTCCAGGGAGGAAGCCCTGGGGTGTGGCCTGATCCTAGGGCCAGGACTGGTTAAAGACGCTCAGACACACCCGACCAGAAGGGGGGCTCACGAGAGGTGGGTGCCGTTACACCAACCCATAGAGGAGATTGGGGAGGATGGATGGGTTGCCCGAGATACATCCCCCATGATGCAGCAGCAGGGGCTTATCTCTTGGGGAGGAGTGGTGGTGCATGATGCCTGCAGTGCATCATGGGAGGTGTAGTCTAACCAGGGTGCCCAACCCATAGAGGAGAATGGAGAACGTGAGGCACAAGAACTACAATTCCCAGGGGCTGCTGCGATGGCCATTTTTCCACACAGAGATATTTGGGCGTTTTACTGGAAACTCCAAGTTTTCTGCAGGAAAAGCACCCCTCTCCTTGCACCGGCTCTATCAAACTCTTCTCGTTTAAATGCTGACAGGTGTCCCCTGGGGAAAAACAGGATTTGGTGACACAGGACTCACGGACTGGAGGCTGGGCGAACACTCCAGGGCCAGTCATCCTCTACTCTAGTCAAATTCTTCTACCCCGGAGGCCCAGAACCTGAAATTTCACCCAGACCTTTTCCCAGTCACCTCCAGCAGGATGGACCCAGTTCCCAACATTGTCCCAGCCCTGGCATGGAAGAGTGAGGGGAGACACTCCACAATCAGGTCCGAGACAGAGATGGTACCTGACAGGGAGAGGAGAAGAGGGAGCGATGTTTCTTCATCATATCAGATAAATTCTGCAAAGGAACAAACATAAATCATCACATCACAGACTCCACAGGGCTTAGAAAGGCTGTGAACATGGGAGGGCTTGCCAAGCTGTGAGATGCAGCCACCTCTGGGGCGGGGCAGCAGGGGAACAGCCGCACAGTGATGCTGCACGGGCATTGGGATTGTGGAAGCAGAGAAAGAACTAACAGGAAGGGGATTGCAATGCATGACAGTTTGTTCGCAAGAGTCAGGCTAACTGTAACCCTAATAACGCGAGATTTGTAGAAGCGAGGATTGTGTGAGGCGAGTGGGAAAGAACTGTGTGAGAAGTTGTTGTGACCTTGTGTAGAAATATGGAATGTAGACTAAGAGTCTACATTAGTGAGCAAAACAAGATATCAGAATGACCTGTGTATAAACAAAATGCAGCTGTTGCTTATTATTGTCTGTAACAAAAGGTATAAAGGTTTGCTGTAATTGTTTACCTGTAGAGAGACCTGTTTAACTCTCTCCCTCTGCGCAATTGATAGAGAGAAAATAAAGTATCTGACTTGCTGTACCCAAACAAAAAGCGAGAACTCTGCTATTCTCCGACAGGATCATCACCGACTGCCAGAGGAGAGCACCCAATCCCGATCCCTGCAGCACAGCTGGCCGGTCCCCACCTTTATCTTGGCAGCGAGCTGTGTCCCGGTGAGCAGCTCCCCATGCCGGTCCGTCCGGGCGTGTCGACCGGCCGAGCCCACCAGCGCAGTGATGTAGTCCCTAAGGCTCTCCCGGAAATCCTCATCCATGTCTGCAAAGAGGAGAGAGGCAGATGATCGTGGGTTTAATTCCCCCTCTCTCTACCTTCCACGTGCGGGCATGTGCGGTGACCCAGTCGCGTTGCTCTGCACATAGGAGGGGGCTCAGAACCACTGTCCCGGCTCCGTTACCTCTCAGGGTTCCCTCGTTCTCAATCATGATCCGCTTGCCGGGGAAGGGCATCAGGTAACAGCAGGTGCTGATTCTCTTCAGCGCTTCCAAGGCCTTGGGGTGTTTGCAAGGGGACGTCGCCGCCAGCATCTGCCGGAGCCCGGGGGAATCGTTACATTGATGTACAGAGCTTACACCAGTGAAATGCAGCTAGCAACAATAACTGAAGAGTGGAGAAACACTCGGAGCCGACCCGCGCCAGCCGGGAAAGGCTCCATGTCCCATTCCCCACCGCCCCAAGCCCCACAGTCACCTGTCTGACGTCTCTCAGATACTGCTCCCCACCCTGGGCTCCAAGGACCAGGGAGCTGCTCCAATCCCGCACCAGCAGATCTAGATGCTGCAGGGGAGACAGGTGGGGAGTGGGGGTCACTTGGAGTGTGGAGAGGCTGGGACATGAAGAAGGACGGTGTCTTCTAGGGTAACCTCAACCCCTCGGGAGTGGGGCAGGGAGTGCATGGGGCAGGAGCATACTGTGGAGTGGGGGAGGGGTGCAATGTGGGGATACATGGGGCGGGGCAGGTCATGGGGGGGGGCAGGCGTCTCACCTGAATGGGGTCCAGTCCATATTCCTTTCCAACCACTTCGGCGACCTGCACAAACATCTGCGGAGTGGAGAGAACAATGTGGGGGCGGGTGAGTCTGGGGGCTGGGAGGCGTTGACACTGGGCGGGGAGATCCTTCCTATGAAGCGGAAAGGGGCCTGGTCACCCCCACACCCCATGTGACCTGCTCCCTTCGCAGCGAGGCCCAGCAAGTGTGAAACGAAGCTGGAGATGGACGGAGACATTTTCCATGGGACAGAGAGAAGCGGGATGCTCCCAGTCAAGGAGAGCGGGGAGGCTGTGGGGCATGGGGGTCTGGTGCGGGGGGGATGGCCATTGGGCACACCCCCTTCCTCCATGCCCTACGCTCCATGGAGGAGCAAGTCTGGTTCCAGGGCTCACCAGATCCAACCCGTGTCCCACACAGAGAGTCCCCCCGGGGCACAGTACAGGGGCAGGATGCGCCGTATGTCACAGGCGGCAGTGATGTGGGACTGCCAGGTGCTCGACCCGGTGCGGCTGGGGCTGGGCACGAGCCTAAAGAGAAGAGCAGAGCAGGGGGCAGAGCGACTGCCCCAGGCCCTGGCCCCAGCAGCTTCCCACCGAGGGCAGAGCTGGGCTGGAGGGGAGGGAGGGGTCCTAACTTTGGCCCAGTGGCCAATGCCGGACACGTAGGAGCAGAGAGCCAGGCTGGGCCGTGCGGTGACAGTGCTGACTCCAGAGAACCCACCTGACCGTTGGAGAGTCAGTTTTTCTCTCTGGGCCTCAGTTTCCCCACAGGAGCTATGGCGGGGGAGGGATAATAACCCTGTGGGGCTAACGGGAGAACCTGGCCCGGCCACATTCTGCATTACGCTGCCCGGCCTCACCTCCAGGTATTCGAAATCCGGATCCTTCACCCGACAGCCAATGTTCAGTATCTGCAAATAGGAGACAGACGGAGCTACAGCAAGGAGCAGTGCTGACCGGCCCAGGCCACTTCCCACCCATGTCACCCACCCCAAGCACAGTGCTGCATGGGGCATCGCGGTCAGCCCTGAGTGCCAGGGGAGAGCGCCCCGTACTGAGCCTCTGCCCTGCTCCCTGTAGCACAGCGCCCCCCACTAAGCCCCCCCCCCCAACCTGGTAGGAGCTGAGCAGCATGGACATGGCGGAGAGTTTGATGCAGGTCTCCTTGTTCCTTTCAATGTCCATGGAGCCCTCGGTGTCGACCAGCAGCACGGCCACCTGGGGGCCAAGAGTGAGAGCCCCAGGTCAGCTCCCGGCTTTGTCCAGCCACCCACGGCCCCTCTGCCCCCAGAGCCTGCCCCCTGCACAGCCCCCATGGCACCTGGCATCTCATTCTCGCCTTCCCCAGAAGTCCCGCAGTGTTAGCTCCCTCCTCTCCCTCTTCTCCATTCCCCCCTGTTCTCTCTCCAGCTGTTTCCCCTGATGTTGCACCGCATAATACTTTACGGAAATATGCTTCTGAATGTAAATATGACATAACTGGAATGTGTTTTATGCTACAGATGCCATGTAACATCTCTCTCAAAGGTTATGATCTACTGAATCTATTCATCCTATTTGTATGCATGGATCATTTTTGTATTCGAGGTTATGGATATTGGCTGTTTACTTGTATGATTTTAAGTAGCCTTAGTAAGGCATTTGGGCAGCTTCTTTAGAAAGGAATTTGTAAGTTAAGTGCCCAGTCAAGAAACGCTTAATGGACAATGGATCTTGGAAGGCTCCAATCCACTTAAGAAATCTACCTGAGGACGTTCAAGGTAGCATATGAACCATGGCTGCCACCTGTAAAATTCTGAGTCATTCATGGACATGTGACTTGCCCCTGTGACTCCAAAACTCCATCTTGTAGCTGGGATTCTACACGGGGGAGGGAGGGGTCTCCACCCACAAGAGAAAGTCTATTTAAACCCCTGGGAGACCCCTCCATCTGGTCTTCAGCTAGCTCAAGAGATAGCCTCTCTACCCGCAAAGGATACCTGAAAGAAACTGGAACAAAGGACAGTAACTACAGGGGTGTGAGTGATTGATGGACCCAGACTAGAAGGAGGCTAATCTGTAAAAGAAGCTTACTGAAACATCTCTGAGGGTGAGATTTCATCTGTAATCACTTTCTTACTGTATTAGATTTAGACTTGCATGTTTTATTTTATTTTGTTTGGTAATTTACTTTGTTCTGTCTATTATTACTTGGAACCACTTAAATCCTACTTTTTGTAGTTAATAAAATCACTTTTTACTTATTAATTAACCCAGAGTATTTATAATACCGGGGGGGGGGGGGCAAACACCTGTGCATATCTGTCTATCAGTGTTGTAGAGGGCAAACAATTCATGAGTTTTCCCTGTATAAGCTTTACAGAGTAAAACGGATTTATTTGGGGTTTGGACCCCATTGGGAGCTGGGCATTTGAGTGTTGGAGACAGGAACACTTCTTAAGCTGTTTTCAGCTAAGCCTGCAGCTTCTGGGGGACGTTGTTCAGACCTGGGTCTGGGTTTGTAACCGGCAAGCGTGTCTGGCTCAAACTGGCAAGGTTCTGGAGTTCAAGCTGGCAGGGAAAACGGGTTAGAAGTAGTCTCTGCACATCAGTTGGTAGTTCCCAAGGGGCTTTCTGTGATCCAGCCCGTCACAGTCCCCCATTCTCTCTGTTCCCAGCCCTCTACCCTGTTCCCCTTTCCCTTCTCGCAGCCCCCTCATGGCCTCCTCCCTCTTCCCTGTGCACCCCCAACGCCCCCACTTACCTTTCCCCCCTTGTCAGGGATCCAGAAGGGCTGACTCCAGGCCCACACCCCCTTGGTGACTCGCTGCATGTCAGCGCGCCACTCGAACCCCTCCAGGAGCTCATCCTCCCGGCCCATCCATGAGTCGTCCCTTGCGTCCTGTTGGGAGAGGAGCAGTCAGGTCATGGGGGGGGGATGAGAGTGACTGGGACCATCTCCCACCAACCTGCAAATCCCCAGGCCTTGGGGGGGCGGGTATGGGGGTGTGACACAGGCCAATTGGTGGGTCACTGCTCTGTGTCACCAACTCGTGCCAGGCCTGATGGACTCTGCACCTCACACCCTGGTGTCGGGCTCTGGACCCAACGGGTGGCAGGTGAGATCTCACTGGCAAACTCAGCCCTTGCGTATCTTTAATATTCATGCATGACATCTGCACATTGTGTGCACAAAGGGTCATGCGTGAGAATTAGGTTCTTAAAATGCGTTTGGCAAAGCATGCATCAGCCGGGCTGCCCTGGGCCAGGGAATGTGGTAACCAGCTTGACTGGGTCTCCATGGGAAACCGCGGGATATTGGAAATGTATTTACATAGAAGCTACAGAAAGACATCAAGCCACCAAGGTGCAGAGAGAACCCCACGGCGCCCCAGCGGGAGACAGATGCTTACTCTGGATTTGACTTTTCAAAGGACATATTACAATGGTTTCCTGGGCTATAAAGATGTGGGGGAGGGCCTGAACCTCAAATAAATCATTGAATCAACAATATTCCTGTATTATCAAAGTGTCTCGAGTGAGGCGTTTGCTGAAAGCCAGTGACCCACTGGCAATAAATATCACTTTGCAACGTCTGTAGTAATGCTATAGGAAAAATGTGGATACTCGCTGGTATTACGCCTTATACAGAGACATTGAACTTTGGGGTGATAGGAGGGGAGCAAAGAGATATTGGCGTTATCCTGCACTGGTGGGACTAACAAGAACAGAGTTCCTGAAATCACAAGATGGTGGGTCCTTCGACCAAGGGGGCTGAAGGCTCCAGGAAATGACTGTCGGGGAGAAACCCACCTATGCAAAATCTGTAACTTGCAGAAGTTCAGCGTTAGACTGAGAAGCGTATTCTCCCTTCTCTTTCCGTCTCGCCTTTTCCAGCTTTCCTCCTTACACGAGGTGTCACGTAACTTTAATCAGCCTTGTTTGACTTTGAATATTAACCAGCCCAGGGCTGCGATTGGAATCAGAGTGTTTGCCGGACTCGGTTAAATCAACAAGCGGCAGCACATTGTCCCCATAAAGGACCGACACACTGAATGGTTTCTGGGCATGTTGCAGGAGCGGGCTGGGCACTGCAGGGAGACGTCTCTGGGGAGCCCGGGAGTCGGGGTTCCGTGTTTGTTTCCCCCAAGATGAGGACAGAACTTGCCGCGTCCTGAAGGGATT